TATGCCACAGAGATTTTGGAGATATGCAGACATTTATGAAGAGACTAAAACTGCTGAAATGCACAAAGAAATTTTTATTTCATCTGCCCACAGACAAAAGTCCCCTAAACATCCAGGGAACAAGAATAAACTATGGGAGTTAATTCACCCCCATACTGCTGTCACCTGCAACGAAATACAAGACTACCAAGAGCATGACTAGTGATTTGGAGCTTAAAAGACTCTAAAAAAAACCCCATCTTGTTTTCAGAAATCATGCAATCCCTTCTCTCAAAACAACAATTATTCACAGCTCCTGAAAATCTTGGCCAAAACCCTTATGTCCTCCATGAAAAATGTGGGACAGATTCTGTCAACTCAAGATAAACTGTCATGAGATGAGATCATCAAACGTACACTTGAAGAACTGGCCCATGTAAACAACAAAACAAAAACTAGAGTATCGTAATACAACAAACCTACCTACCTACAGCTTTGGATATTTTGCTCTATTACCTCTATTTTTTCCCCCCAAAAGGAGATTCCCCCTTCTAACAAAATCATCTAAACCAACCTTGTTTTTGTAGCTTAGAATTCAAGATGTCAAACCTCATTGCAGAATCTTCTAACTTGTGATAGTTTCGAGTTTTTCTACTTTGATCAAGAAGAACTTCAGTCTGGAGTACTTTTTTTTTTTTTTTTCCTCTTACTATGTGGCATACAGAAGAACATCCAAAAAATGTTTTTCTATGCAACAAATTTTACCCACAAATCTATCCACATGGAAGGAGGTGTTGAGGATCCAAGACTAACGGTCAGAGATCCCACATACCAACGACAGTAACAGTTGTCAGAGGGGAAACAAAGATGCTTGCCAATGAAATGCTGAACGGGCAAGTACTCTCATTTCCAGACAAGCTGCCCCAAATTTGGTCCCCAACACTTGCATTCTTTAGCTTGAGTAGCTAAAAATGAACATTTGTTCCCTGCTAAGGTGCAAACATGGCTCCCCGAGACATTTGTGAAGGGCTCCTTCCGAACCCTCTCGTGAAATCTGTGCTTGTCTCCACTATTACTATAAACTACAAATTACTTCATTTTTCCTGGTCTCCATACAAATATAAAAAATGAAGCTATCTGAAAAACCTTATCATCTAATTATACTAGATTACAGTGCTGGAGATCGTTTCTAAGAACATATCTGCATTCACGCTTCTATTCCTTTCCCTACGTTACTCAACTTCCTCTTGCTAGGGGAAATCTCTGAGTGCAGCTAAAGCCTTTTGCACTAACATACATAATTTAAGAAAATGGGGAAAGACAGCAAATTAAACAATATTAGTTTTTACACAGTTATTATACATGATGCCCAGGTAGAAATGCTTAAAATTCTCTCTACTTCCCAACAGCCTACCTGGCTTTCTGAGCAGCACCTGGCTAGGATTACATCAAGATTCTCAAGAAATAGCTTTTCTTCTGCCCCCTTTTAGCAAAGAAATTGGAAATCTACTACAGGAAGCCCTTGATCAAATCTCTGCACTGGCACGACCCTGAATTTTCCCAAGGCTGGATTTTGTCTCTACACAAACAGTGACAAGAAGTAAACCCTACTGAACTCTGGGAACATCAAGGTGCAGATGCCAGACGCAGATTTATGGATCCGACTCATCTTTACTATTCAACAGCAATTAGCTTAAAATAAATAGAAGAAAAGTGCTGATGTTAATGGCAAAGGCTGATTCACTCCTAGTGTTTTAGTCATTGTGGATAAAGTGCAGAGGAAGCGGGATTTAAAGGTATCTGGGATCAGGAAAAGGGTTAAATGGAGGGACATAATGAAAACCACAGCCATAGACACCATTTTCGGAGAAAACAGAAACAGATTTAGCTAACATGTTTCTGCTGGGATTTCTTATTGACTGGATTTCAATTTGTTTTTAATTTGCTCATAACACGCTCAAAGGGCGTAAACAGTCTGGCAAGTGGGTTCCATAAAAGCAACGAGAGGGGCTAAGCGCAAGATAAGGAGCGAGAAACAGGTTCAAAGAGTGAAAACAACAGGAGCAGCTCCTGCAGATTCTGAAAGCGTCAATACACGTTGCACACGGACGGCTTCAAGAACATCCTTCACGAAGTGCGAACGCATCCCCTAAGAAGCGCGCAGAGCCTAAAGGCCTCCGTTCGCAAAGCCAAGCACTGTTGGACTAGATACTACAGAGATGTTCCTCCATCCTTGCTCTCCGCTGTAGCGCAAGGCTGTCAATGGCTTATTGACCGCAACGAGGCACACCTCGTGCCCTCGCCTAAGCCTAGGATCAAGGAAGCAAAGTGGGCTGTACCATACCAAAGGGAAGATCAGGCTTTAAATTCAGGACACAGACTGGGAACACCAGCTGGAAAGGTTTGGGTTTTTCTTCTCTTTTTTAAACACAGTTCATACTGATGACACTGTAAGATGCAGAGCTCACAACAAGCAGTGGATGGAGTTCACTGTGGCCAGAGGGCCTCTCCAGGTGGCCCATCCCACCAGCTCAAGAGGTGCCAAGCAGCTTTTAAAAGCCATCTCACCAAACACATCTGACTGCCACCACAGCCACTGGCCCACAAGGACGAATCCCCTGCTCTGTTCACCTTCTGTGTCCTATACCATCTCTCCTGCTGACCACATGTGCCCGGAGCAGGGAAGCTGTGTTCAAGAAAAGTTTGCCAAGAAAAGCAAAAAAAAACTTGCAAAGCCTACCTCCCGTTTCCCACAACCACCACCTAGCCACCTAGCACACAGTCCTCTGATTCAAAGAGACGGGGCTGGAAAACTCCCCATCTTTCGAAGGGGACCCTACCGTACGCACAACTGGGTATTTTTCCTGCAGACACCCCAAACGTTTTGGGGAGCCACCACACATTCAGCAAAAGCTTCAATGTAGCTACTGCCAACGCTTGTACACCCAAGGAAAAACTATGTTTAGGCTAGAAACAACTCTGTTACTGCTTTAATTGAAAGTATGAGGTTATTAGTTGGCTTGCCTGAATACATCATTCTTCCCATAATACCGTGGAATTTCCTTTCTGAAAAAAAGGCTCTCTGGCAGAAAATTTTTTATTAAACGAGTGCTTAATTCTTCTGCCTGAAATCTGCACGACAGCCTGGCTGCCCTTGTTTCTCAAGCATCCTTCTCAGCTTTATAAGAGGAAACTGGCCCAAAGAGAGCATTACATTATGCACGGAAAATATTTTGAATTAGGTAAAACCAGCTCTGAAAGGGAACACGTATTGAAACTTAACAGTGGCAAATCTCTCTGCGACGCATTTGAGGCACAGGAGTTGAGGTTTCAGAAACAAAATGCCCTTGATGTTCCAAGGGGAACAGCAGGTAGCTAGCACCTCTGGGAACAAGAGTCTCAATTCCTGAAATCATGTTGTTTCCCCTCTAGTTACAGGCGTAAAGCTTGTGAGCACCAGGACGTAATGGACTTTACATGTAGTTTCCTCTTCGGTTGCACGTTAGACCCTTGTCCTGTGGCCGAAGAAAGTACCTAAGATCAGGGAGCTGCAGGTGAATGATGGAGGAATAGTAATTATTACAGACATCCCTTGCAAAAAAAAACAAAAAAAACAAAAAAAAACCCCACCGTGAACAGAATCAGTTGTAGCCTTACTTTGAACCACACGTGATATGGCTAGCACAGGCTGGTTAAATAAAGATCCCTCAACCCAATAGTCAAAAGCTCTATACAGTAACAAAATATAAAATGAGAACACTACAGAATAGGAAAAGCTGGTTAATATTCTCTTGCTTTCACCTTGGGTTTTTTTTTTTTTTTTTGCTTTTTTCCCCTGATTTGATGATTTTACACTAAATCTGTCATTTTCAGATTTTTTTTTTAAGATAGCCAATAATATGTGTTTTTTTTTTCCCCTTCCCATTTTGTCCACATACGTTTTATTTAGCGATTGTTATCCTCCTCCCGGTTGTCTGTCAATTGAAATACAGAGCCCGAAGGAGGAACAACACTGAAGGCTTGTGAAATACAGAAGGAGCAGGTAGATTTGCAAATTACTATGCTGTGTGCACCTCACTGACTTCACATAATTGCTCCTTTGCCATCTAATTCAGTTGAGTTTTCAACTTTCCCTGTGATATACCCTTCCCCCATCTTCACATTGCCATATGCCACTTAAAAAAATCACTTTTCTTTCTGCCAAAACCCTTACTGTCTGCTTCCCTGCGCGAGACTCCTAGTTCGCAGAAAAGAGCAGAAGCTAGGATCTGCATGGTAATACCAAAATAATCAAATCAAGTATGAAAACTTGGAATTCAAATGAACTGTCCAGGCTACTTTCACAAGCCATTTTTCTTCCCGAAAGCAGCCAAGTTCAGAGTCAAGGCAGCCATGCCCTGCCCGCCTTGGTGAAGGCTATCAATTCGGGAATTAATCAAATCTGATCTTTGCACATCTGAACTATGGCTTTTTGTCTTGACTTGTGAAAGCTTCGTGATTTCTGAAGTAAAATATATTTACAAGGCTGAGCAACAGCCTCTTTTCCTTTCTAAAACGTCTCATACACTATACATATATTTTTTTAATGCCAAACGTGCCACAATCTCCTTCTGATATGTTCTTCAGAGGCTTGCAATGGAAATGTAGAGTTCACTGCTGGGAATTTTTTCAAAGTACAGTGACCTGTAATCCACAGATCCTAACTAGTTGCACATTATTTAGTTCACATCCATCACAGCTTATAAATTAACAGAGATGTCATTTTCTGTACAAAAAAAAAAAACAATGCATATTTATGATTTTTTTTATTCAAATAGATTTTACATACATATAATCTAAAGACACAATACAAAATCTGTATAAGTTAGGCAACGCATCACAGGAGTGACCAAAAACTCAACACATTTACCTTGGCAAAATGACAGAACATATTTCTGCTGGCTGAAAAAATATTAGCCTTTAATGCATTTATTAATTTTACTAAATGTACTTGAAATGTTTTTCCTTAGCAGTATTCATTATTCCTTTTTGTGTTTCATAGTTACTCTTATTTATTTTTTCCATTTTGTTTTTACACCAAGGAGACTGCAGTCAAATAACACTCAGCAACTCATTTCCTCTCTTTGGACTGAAAAATTAAACAGATACTAAATTATGACAGTGAATTTAGAAAGGAGGGCTCCAAGGGCTTGAAAGAACATGTCTGAGATAATATGATGCTTCTAAGAATATTGCAATCACATCCAAGCAATCACCGAAGCGTGCCATGTAACTACCTCCTCAGCTAATATGCTTTTTTCTCCGTGATGACTAATCATGTTCTATTAAACAGCGGTAATGCTGGAAGAACTCAACTATACAAGTGTAATGAAGCCAGTATTCTCCCTGGACAGATTAGCTACAACTGATTTGACACATACCATCATAGGAGCTTCAAACCTGACAAACTCTGTGCTTGCTTCTGATTTATGCCGTCAAGCTCTTCAGAGAAGAGAATGAAATCCAAGCGCTCCGTTTGGTAGAGGTGAAACGTACTGATGTGCTTAACTGTCAGTTACGGAAAGTTGCCGCTTCTTCTTTCTTCTCCTCTTGCTTCTGCTCGCCGCTCCCTCCACCCCTTCCTGCCCCACTTGTAGAGCCGGTGCCTCGAGCTCGCCGCCTCAACGGTCCCGTGCTACGTCCCAGGGAACGCACGCACCCTCTCTCCTGCACTTCTGTTTTGCCGTGTTCATCATTCGGGAGCGTTCGCGCAAACAAATGCTTTCTCGGCAGCCCCTTTTGCTCCTTCTCATCCCCTCGCACTATCCAGAGGCGATGTTTCTGGATGGACCGAAGGGAAAAGGGAAAAGGAAAGTGTGCAGACTCACAGAGCAGAGCTGTGATGGAAATGGAGGAAAACGAGGCTGCAGGTGTGATTCAGGTCAGCGAATACACGAGTACGTTCCTCAGATGATGGTGGGCATTCTTCCGCTGCTGTTGTTTCGGTTATTGTTCTTCCGGGACAAATTAGGAGTCGCCATAAGGACAAAGCGCTCGTCAGGGCAGCCGTACTGGAGGAGAACGTCAATGCACTCCTGGCTCAAGGCCTGCCTGGCGTAGGCCAATGCCGTGTTGCCGTGGGCATCGCGTGCCATCACATCAACGCCATACTACAGAAAGAAGAGATGTCATTGGAAGCTTTGGTGCCAAAAGAGCCATAAAATAGAGGGAATGAGCTCAGGAGAGACGTTGCAGTTCAATTGAGGTTGGGGAGGGGAAAGCAAGGAAGGAGAGAGGGCAGGACAGCAGACTGGTAAATACGGGCATAGCAGACATGAGTCACATACGTACACGTTTCTACAGGGAGAGCCTCGCACCTGGAACAGTTTCTCACCATGGTATTCTCAAATAGTTTTTCTGGTGCCAGGGACATTTCTCCTTCCTTACTTCTTACACTCTCTTTTGCTTTCTAGCAAGTACCAGCAGACAGGGAAAAAAAGGCACGTTTCCTTCAAGGCACTGCCTCTTCAGAGCAGGCAATAAGGAACATCCAGACTCAAGACAAAAGGGAGCACCTCACAAAACCAGCAGGTAGCAGGTCCATCCTCGGACAGCAGGTACTTACCCAAATTAGGAGCTGCACCAACACCACGTTTCCTTTCCTGCACGCCAAGTGGAGGGCAGTGCGCCCGTCGCCGTCCCCACAGGTCTCATTCACTTCTTCCCGCGTGCCGTGGGCGAGGAGCAGGATGACCGTCCGCAAATCCTCCTCGGCTGTAGCCCTCAGGAGATGTTGGCCCAGGGAGAGCTCCAGGCACTGCAGCGGGGCAAGGAAGAGCTTCTGCTCGTATTTCGCACGTATCCAGCGCTCTTTTTCTTCCCTAGAGAAGGCAAAGGAAAGACGGCATTTTAAGATTAAAATCCCCCAGGCTACAGCACTGCACCCGGGCTCGCATTTCAAATGGGAGAGGAGGCTGCCGCGAGACACAGCCTTGCTTGCAGGGATGCCTTTTCATTTTAAAAGTTTAGTAACGTTTCCAGTGCAAAAGAAATCTGGCAGGTTCTTCCGCTTGGTTTTCCAAAACGCAAACCATCCGAACCATACTCTGAAGCCCCCTTTCCTCTTGACATGTCACATAACTCTCAGTTCTAGATGCTATTACCTGACAGGCTCGCAAGCACTACAGACAACTCCCTCAACTCCCCATTTAAACAAAAATTAGCATACAGTTATATGCTTTAAGAGGTCTCGTCCTAGACAAATTCCCATTTAGAGGCACCTTCTGCCCACCAGCTTAGGTGATCTGCTCGGCTCGAGAAAACCGTACACATCACCTAGCAAGGCAGCTTGTTACTGGTGACATATTTTTTCCTCTGGAGTACAAAAGGAAAAGCTCTGTTTACGCCTTTCAGCAGTGTTTACACTACTCCCAGTAATCTAGTGTCAGGTTAGCCCTAATCTGTTTTTAAATACTTATGTAAACAGATCCTTCCAGCAGCAAATCTGGATTAGTTTTGCATCATTTCCTGGTACATGTGGAGTGCCCTTACTTTGACCTCCCAGGCTGCTTTCATGCAAAGCTTCCCAAAGCAGGCACTTCTCTCTACCGGGCACAATTGACTCTGCAAACAGGTACAGGCATTTGCAGAGAAAAAAGTGCAAACAGAAAATTAACACAAAAAGTGCTTCATTTAAATCAAACTGCAGAGTGACTCCTGCAACCTAAAAAAGGTAAAAAAAAAAAAAAAAAAAAAAGGTTAACAAAAAAAGGTTAACAAACCCACACTACATTTAGGGAGCTGTAAAGTAAAGTAACCTTTGATGGCAGTATCTGATAAAGGGGATATCGTTTCAGGTGCTCACCCTGGAGAGGCGGAAGAAAAGGACTTCTGTTATTATTCCAAACCTGAACTCATGTCCTTTGCAATATTTTTCTTTTTTCTTCCTTTTTTTTTTAAGGTAAAAAAATAATAGCAGTGCTTTGAGGAAGACGGCATTTGGGTTTTTTAGTTGTTCTTAAACGTTGCAGCTATTGTAGGTCCGGTATCAATCTAACTCTAGCGTATCTTCAAATCAAGAGCATTTAGTAAATGTGCATTTTTTTTTTGTTTAATGTGCATTGTATCGAGAGTATAACCAATATATCCACTGCACATTTAAAAGCGCCAGACTGAAGAATGAAGTGATTCAGCCTGTGCTGGCACACGTCAGGGCGTAGGGGATTTATTTCTCACGGGCTCATACATCCTAAAGGCAAAACATACTTCAGACGTAGCTTCTGCCCGCACCACAGTGAACAAAAAAAGAAAAAAATTAGACTCGTCAAGAGAGTCAGCAACGAATCCCCTCTCCCCCAGACCAGCTTATGAGTGATAGTTACTTTTGGCTCCGGTCCCAGCATCAGCTGCTGTGATAACCACGGCTTGAACACAAGTCACTTTCTGTTTTAGAAAACAAGCTGTTTTCCACAAATCTCCCAGTTCTAATCACAATGCATCCTAAACTGTAGTAGTAATGCTAGGACATGTACCGCAACAGAGACAAATGCAGCGTTTTAGGCTGCCGTTTACACCAGTTCCTCGGCAGGAATTTCCCATTTGCCAGGTGCTGCATGGGAGTAGCGCAAAGGCACGTCAGACCAGGTGATCCTGCTGCTCTTAGAAGGCTGCGAGACAGCAGGATAGAGACCCTAATAGCCAAACTGTGCTCAGATTACCCCACCGTCTCAAAAGGCTGAGAAAAGAACAGAAACTGATTCACCAAATAAATCTGAGAAAGGGGGAGCATGCTGCTACCTGTATTACTGACGGATCAGGAGGGAGAAGAAAGGAGCAGGGTGCGCACGGTCCTTCCTTGAAGCTTTCTCCTGCAGTATAATAAAGGAACCCATAACCGCTCTGCGTTCGCGCAGGCTGCGTGCTCCGGCCAGGATTTCCTAAACTATAGGAAATGCGTTGCAGCCCTGGGCAGCAAGTAAAGTTAGGGGGCTCAGGAGGCATCCACTGACACGCCTGGCCAGAGCAGGATCCGACAGGCAGCAGCAAACTGTGCCACTGGGCTACCATCAGCTGAAAGTTCAGCCTCCTCAGGTGGTTATTTTATCACACTTCAGTTTGTTTTTGTAACAACTGCCTAATAATTACTGACCACCTGGGGCACCAAAAGACTTAATTTCTTAAGGCCAATTTCTACCATTGGACTTCATTGACTGGGAAAGCACCCCCCAAATTCCTCTTGTGGGTTCTGGTGGGAAGGGATGCACACAGCAACTGATTCGGACAAAAATAAAGGTGTTTTAAAAGCCTCAGACATTTGGGGGCAGCATGTCACTGGCATTGGCTATCAAATGACATTTAGATCTTATCCAACGGTCCAGTAGATAATTAGTTTGGATTGCCTCATAGAGAACGATACCTAATCACAGATGTAGGAGATGCCCATGTCTCATGGACTGCTACGGATGGTTTTAGAGAGACCACTTTTGAATGAATATCTAGAAAGCCACCATCCCCAGGCATCCTCTCTCCATCTTTGGCACAAATAATTTCATTTCAAATGGAAAAATTCTGGGGATTTTCTTGGAAGACAGCTTCAGCTCCTCTGCACCCATTCACCTTAGAAATCGTTGACACCAAGACATAAATACTATAATTGTTTCTCTGATGCCACAATTTCACTTTGGGGATCCACAGCTTGTCTTGGTTGAGGTTTCATTTCCCCAAAGGAAGGCCAGTCCAAGAGCAGAGTTGTCAGCAGTAGATCACTTAACCTCATTCCAATCCCCCGGAGGACCACTGTTCACATCCCCTGTTAGCTAATGAGCTAAAAAATGAATTATTGGAGCGGTCAGCAATAAGCAGGAAGAGGAGGCACAGAGCTTCATGTCAGCCAGCACTGACATACCTTTAAATAAATCAACTGAATAAGAGTACAAGGAAATGAGAGAAAGAGCAACTAATCAGGAGGAAGACACTGAACCAATCCCTAAAATAAAGGAAATGTACAATTAAACATCTGCTAGTAAATATCTCTGTTTTCTGTCCTTACCTACAATCCTGGTAACTTCCACTCTAAACCACTCCTTCAATACTAAAGACCTTCAGCTCTATTTGTCGTAACATGAAAACTGTAAGCCAAAACAAGATCATTTTGCTCACTTGCTGAATTTCTAAAATTCCAGTGGAATCCTTTTTTGGGGGACCAGATCAAAGCCAGTGGGCTGGAGAGGCAACTCCAGGTGCTCAGAGGGTCCCTGAGATACCTAATGCTGGGAAACGCGTGTGTTCCCTCTCCCGTGCTTGTATTAAAAGGACTTATCCTTTCTGCAGTGATCACGCTAGCTGCAGGTTTTCTAAATGCATGTACATAAGTGAATTGATAGGTTATAAAATATTAAATAAATTTAAAGAAAGATGAAGTACAGTCAGTAAGATCAGGCTTTGTATCTTTTATCGCTGGAGCTACCCATCCAAACCCAGACCGCTGATGCAAACTTAAAGCCTCACTATTTATACAAGGGCCAAATACAACTGAATAAGAATGCAAAATATGCCACAGCAGCAGGAAGGGAACAATCCACTGCGCCTTGGCCAAAAAATATCATCAAGCTCTTTGCTCTGGCAGGAGTCTCGATCACGAGTCAACTCCAAGACACGGTGGTGTGAATAATGAAAACTCTGCCATGGCAGCAATACTGTACGTAGGTAAAGGGTTATTAGAAACAGATGAAAATTTCAGTTCTCAGTTTATTTTGATCTAATTAGGTGCTTGCTTCTCAAGATAATGTCCAATTATTTAAATTACTCTGCCAGCCACATCACATCATTATCATCTGGAAACATAAATATCGGGCACTGCAAGGAGAGGGAGGGCTAACTAGGTAGCACGAGAGAATATAAAAAGTCGGTTTGCTTGGAGGGTAGTTTTGTTTCAGGAACTACTCTGCACTCTCTGCTTGCACGGTAGCACCGGAGACGCTCGTTTAGGAGCCCAGGTCCATCCTCCAGCATTGCGGGGCTCTCCCACCTATTCCTCCATCCTGCTCCTCTCTACTACCTTCAACGTCATTTGTCCCTCACACATACTTAGCAGAGAGGTATGAAAGAAAAACAAGAAAAAGACTGGGCACCCTGGAAATAAAAGCTGCGTTCGTACGGCAACTTAGCATTTATTGCGTAGTTGACAGCACGCAAGTGGAAAGCCTTGAGAAGTTGTCAACCAAATTTGACAGCTCCAGTGAAAAAGCCGTTTCTTATCAAAACGAAGATGAGCATGATAAAAGTTGTGTCACTTGCTCGTTACCTGAAATTACTCACTGCTTGCTAAGAGGCTGAACGCAACTTTGCAAGGTTGCATTAGAAACGTAATAGGAAGCAGGTATTTGCTATGGCACAGCATTATTTTCCTACATTTCCCACCATCAAAAATAGTGGGCAAGTTGGGTGCAAGCATTTGGAAAGTGAATTTTTAGCCTCCACTCTTCCAACAGTACTAAAGTATTCTTAAAAAATTTTCTCTCCTCTGTTGCTAACGAAAAAAAAATACCTTTAGCTGAAGAAGCCTCCTAATGTTCTCCTTATCATTAACATCATTCAATCAAACGGTGGTGGTGTGCAGGTGCTGTGCTTGTCTTGCCATTTATGGTTGCACACCAAAGTGCAACCATTTTACTGTTTACTGTAGTAGTAAGCTGGCTAAGCTTAAGAGAACTGCCAGATTTTCTCTCTTGTGGGTTTTTTGACCAGCTTAATGTGTCTGATCCAAGAAAATGAAGTAAATCGGACTCCCTTAACTCCCAAACTTGCTTTCAATGTGTCTTCTGTAGAGTCCCAGGATTGTCATCAGCTTGGTGAGGTCTGATAGACTGCATCATGTTGGGTA